TAAAAAAAAATAAAAAAAATAAAAACAAACAAACAAAAAAAGAAGAAAGAAAAAAAAAGTAAAAGAAAAAGTCTTTCATTGTTATACAATTCCCCCTGCCCTCAGTCCCCTCCACTATGCAGCCTTCATTGTGGACTCTCGTCATGACAATAATACCTAATCATTTTTCACTTTTAAATAGTTCTCTCCCTCATCTGTTTCAATGCAGTATACATAATTTATCCCATCTTTCTCAGTCTCCCCCTCAGTCTCGTTTTACAACAGTGGCACTATGCAATATTTGTCCTTTTGTGACTGAGATATTTCACTCAGCATAATGTCCTCCAGGGTCATCCATTTTGTGTATTTCATAAGTTCTTTGATTTTCAGTGCTGCGTAGTGTTACATTGTGTGAATGTATCAGAGCTTCTCTATCCACTCATTTGTTGATGAGCACTTAGGTTGTTTCCAACTCTTTGCTATTGTGAACAAAGCCACAATAAACATGGGTGTGCATATCACCTTCACTTCTAAAGAGCTTTCTAGCTGCAGTTCTTCCAAGATCTATCTGGAATTAGATCAAATTTTCTTTCTCATTGTGTTTATAATCTGTAGCATTAGTAACACCAAAACAAATTCTTTCATATTGGTAAATTCTCAAATTGGCATTGCTTAAAGGCAAATACAAGCAGTCCCTGGCTTACAATGTATTCAAGTTACAATGAATCGCACTCATGACTGTAAGTTTTTCTTTTCTGGGGTATTTCTTACTATTAGGAACTCGGGTGGCCTAGTCTGTAAGGTGTTATACTGCTAACCCAAAGGCCAAGCCATTCTGTTGGTTGGAATCTAGTACCATCTTTGAACAAGAAAGATGGGCACTGTCTCCCTGTGATTTACAAGATCAGAAAGCCCAGAAGGTCAGCTATGAGTAGGTTTCAACTACATTGAAACGAGTTTATTATTAGTAATATGTACTACACAGAATGGAGCAGCATGTGATTTGCTGATGTCATAATCCTTAGATACTCACTCCAAAGTGTTCAAAGAATAGATTTATAAAGATACTCATAATGAAAGGTAACAGTAATGAAAACAAATTTATTAAAAAAAGAAAAATGTATTTTGACTTATGTCAGAACTGACTTATGACAGAGTTGTTGGAATGGAATCCCATTAAAGATTATCTGTAGAGTTGTGTTATCTTAAACAGCAAAAAATCATCTATTTGTATTAATACCAATAATTTGTAACACTTCAACAGGTGTTTAGACACCTTGGAAGAAAGGCCTGGAACTCTGCTTTCTGAAAATTCTAAGGGGGCGGCTTTATGCTTCACACATTGGCCTACTACAGTTGATGGCAACTACCAACAACAACTACAGCATGGCTTACCAATTTTTTTAAAAGGTATGTTGAATAGTGACTCATTTATTTGCATAAATAATTTGAATTTTTACTCTTAAAAGTTTAAAATAAGATTTCTTTTAATTTATACTGTCTATAGTTAATGTAAATCACTAATATTATTATTATAAACCTTACCCAATAATAGCATCATATAAGCATAAAAGAGTTAATAAAGAAATAAGTAAAATGGGAATGACTAAATAAAAACTCAATGCGATCTATACACTTTCACTCAAAATAAAATTTTAAAATTCTTAAAAAGAAATTAATAGGGAGGTGAAGTAAATGGGAAAGTTCCTGTGTGAAAAATGTATTTGAACTTTGCAAATAAACTAGTATGATAATTTTTAAAAAAAAGTAAAAAAAAATAATAAAGACACTAGGACTCTGTGTGTTGAAGTCATAATACGGATAATTGGCAGGGAAGGGAAAGCTCCTTAAAGAACGCCAACCTTTAAGTGCAGAAAACGTGGTGAAACCAGCATTTATTTGATAATGGTCCTGAAAAATGATTCAGACATGACGCATCAAAGATTATTAAAACCAGGAGCTGACACTCTGAAAGCATGAAAATTCACAGAACTCTATGTTCTGAAATGGTGACTTTTCTGTTTTGTAAATTTACCTCAATTAAAAGGAAAAAAAAAAAAAAGAACACCAAAAAAACAAACCCACAAAAGAACTCAAAAAAGCCCTAGTAGGTGGTATTTTCATTTTCTGAAGTACCTCCCTGTAAGATACTTAATTACAAAGGCAAAAACAGTAATTTTACAATGGAGAAATCTGGCTGCCAAACAATCTTACAAGCTGATAATGGGACAGATGAACATTGTGTGCCTTCTGATATGATGCCTGAGAAGAACACAGCATCACTATGTTCTATGGGATTTCTGCCCAGAATGCATAACTGAAATCCAATCATCAGGGACCATTAAACTCAGACTGGAAAAGGAGCTTAAAAAGTCTCTACTTCCAAAATGTGAAGGTCACAGAAACGTAAAAAAAGGACTAAAGAACTGTAGTGCTATGGATCGCTTTTATACGGCCTTTCTTTCTTTTTTTTTTTTTGCACTGTGTAATTCCTTTATTTTCTGCATACTAGTGCTTGCCAACACTACAACCATGAAGAACACAATTCCAAATACTGTACTTTTTAGTTTGGGGAGATCACAGTCTACAGACTCATTTACTTATATCAGACAAGATTAACTTCATTCAAAACTTACTGCAGTTTATAAGTTCACATAAATACAGAAGTTGATGCAATTCAACAGAAATTTTAAGATTGTATTTCTTATTCAATAACTTGTTTTTCTGCAGGCTATTGTTATCTATATGGCCTTTCTTACCCTAGAGTCTTGTAACTGCCACCAAATGACTGGATGCATTTCTTATCACGGAGATAGGAAAACTTGCTAATAATGCAGTAAGGTACTTGGGCACCATCTGTAGGTGTGTGGCTATGCAATTAAGGCATATGGAACCTTAGTGAGGAGGTTGATCAGGCCTAAAATGAACCATCTCAAGGTAGATAGGAGTACTTCACTACCACCAAGAAGGATCAGAAATGGAA